ATTTTTTTACTTTTTTTTTTTTTTTTTTTTTTTTGAGGCAGAGGAAATGCATTACGCACACCCCCGGAAAAGACGGGACTTTCCCAGGGGTAGTGTGGGACTTTCCCCCTCCGGAACTAACGGCCGGAGAGGGCCTACCCACTAAAACCTCTGCCGGGCCCCTTGCGGCTATTGCGAGGGCATCCCGGAAACCGCTTGCGCATTACTTCCGGGACGCCCTCAGCCGCGGGGCGGGGAAAACCTAAACCCCCCCGTCCCCTTCCCGGGCCAAGAAGGATAATTCCCTCCCGGCCCGTTGTTCCTATCCTCCGTGACCGGACGTGGGCCCCTCCGTTCGGTCACACCTCACCTGTAGGGGCGCTATTGGCCGGGTCCGGTCCCGTCCGGACCCGGCCCGCCCCTACGCTCCCGACCGAGGTTGCTGGGGCGGAGGGGTCTAAGAGTTCCCCTCCGCCCCTCTTGGTCAGGAGCGTCCTGACACTGGGAGGGGGGTGGGCGGCCTAAGAGTCCGCCATTGCGAACCGGCCGCCCTGCCCCCCTCCCGGAGGCGCCTGGTCTGACTTTTTGTCACGGTGGGGAGAGTCGCGCCTTGCGACGCGTCTCCCCCGCCCGACCAGGCGCCTCCTATCTCCCCCGCGCCGGGCCCTCCGTTAATCAGGAGGGCCCGGCGGCATGTAGGGGGAAGCGGCGCACGCGCAGGTACCCCGGGGGAGGGAACCCCAGCGGTGGCGTCCCTTCCCCGCCCGCGAGTGCGCCGTCCCTCAACCCCGCGCTGATGCGCGGGTAGGCGAGCCGCTCTCCTTCTGCGACGCCTCGCTCCATTCCAGGCGGCGGCGGTTTCATCCCGCCGCACCCTCTCCGACTCCTCCTTCTGTGATACGACTGTGTCACAGAAGGAGGTGACGGCAGACCAGCCCTCGTCTCCCCCAAGCATGGCCTTTATGAGGGCCGGGGGAGAGAGGTCCGCTCCCACCACGTCAATCAGGACTCGGCGCTCCACATCCCAGGAAGGGCATTCCTCCTGGGTGTGTTGCGCCGAGTCCACCTCAGCACCACAGTGGTGGCAGCGGGAGTTAGGCTCCCTACCAATCCTGTGCAGGTACTCACCGAAGCATCCATGTCCGGTGAGTACCTGCGTCGTCCGAAAGGACAGCTCTCCGCGGGCCCTGTCTACCCATTCTTGTAGACAGGGCCGGATGGCCTCGGCGACCCTCGCTCCTGAGTGGCCCGTCGTCTCCTCCAGGTGGATGCTCTACCTTAGGAGGAGGCGTTGACGGGCCTGCAGTTTTGCTATATCTATGGCCCTGGCCAGATGTTCGAGGTCTCCCCCGGCACGGAGCTCCTTGACACGCCGATAGGTCTCGGTGTGTATTTGTGCAAGGAGCTCCAGCGGGGGGAGACCGGCCAGGGCCGTGACGGCCGTATGCGACGTCGTCCTATAGGCCCGGGCGAGGCGAATGGCGACCCACCGCTGAGCGCGGTGTGCCAGCGCAATTAGCGCTGGTTGGTCGATATCGCACTCGCCCAGACCGGGGCCTCGTACAGGGCCATAAACTGGACGACGCCGGCATACAGTCTGCCTTCCTTTTAGAGCCGCCGAGGTTGGGCAGGAGGCACCCAACATATTGGCCACCCTGCCCAATGGGGGCCAGAAGCTCAAAATGCTTCTGAAACCCCCATATACCATCCAAGACGAGTCCCAGATATTTTATTGTGGGACCCGTCTTCACGGAGACACCGTCCAACCGGACTCGGGCCCCAGGTGGTCCCCTCCTCCTCGAGCCATCATGTATGAACACAAGTTCAGATTTGAGGGGAGCCGCCTTGAGGCTCATCCTGTTCTGGGAGCCTACCACGTGGTCCACCGCCAGTCGTCCCTTTTCCAA